CAGACTGACTCAATACCAGGGTGTGGAAATTACATACTTCCTGAAGGAAAGACTTCAAACAAGCACCTCACCTGGCTATTCTGGTGAGATTTGTTCCTTCTGGATACACATCCTTTACAGATGTGATTACTTGGAACTGACAGCTCTCTCTCAAATTGTTAGAAGCTTCCCAAAACACAGGTATGCTATTTTGCAATAACTGTAAGCATGACTCGAATCAGTTTTGGAATTTAATTAACTGTGCATGGTGCATTGTATAAGCATGCTTCAGGGTCAACCATTATCATGCCAGAAATATGCAGACAGACCAGTAAGTAATGCAAAGTGTATTTTCTAAAATTAATATAGAGAAGACCCTCCATATTAGCCCTCCACCAAGAATTCCCACTTCTGGGCAATAATCATTGAGGATTTCATGCTCAACAGATTCCTCAGCTATCACATCTCACTCTGCATTAGTCTCTGAGCAAGCTACTTTTACAGTGACGCACTTAATACAGGTGATGCAGATTCCTCCCCAGTGGGACTGCACCATCACCTAGGTTTCATAGCCTAGATCATGGCACCTTCATGGCATGAAGTTTATGGTGCTAACAGACAAAACTTGGTCAGCAAGAACCTCTTTTTTTGCTGTTGGCTGCATCTGCTGACAGTGCTGTTGCTGCTGCTCATGTTCTGGCTGTTGATTCTTCTTTCTGTGCCACAGCCAGGGATGTTGCCTCTGGACCTCAAGACGTGGAGAGAAGGAAGTGTCAGAACATGCCAGACCCTGTCTTGGGGCTCTGCCTCTCCTGGGTCTTTTCTGTAGTTGTCCCCTCCTGAGCAGGGAGTGTGGAAGACTATCTCAATACAAGTCCTGCAGAACCATGTTTCCTTAGATAGGTGTGGTTATTCACCACCTTGGGTAAGAGCAACATCTCTCAACACAGCTATACCAATAATCAAGGTTTGTTTTGATCAAGCAGTAACTACCCAGCAGACCCAACACTGCAAGGCACCTTGGCACATAGCCTATGACTTTGTCATACCCTTTTCTTGTATATCTGTGTCCAGATCACGCGGACACTCTTATTCCTAGTGTGAATATTGTTGAGGGCAAGGGAAGAAGGTGTGAAGGATTTTTTTCACCCCTCTTCCCTAGACAAAGCTATGTTTTCCTCAGGTATATGCTACCTGCACAACTTCAGGCTGTGAGCTTAGTGGCTTTGGCAAGCAGAGAAAAGATCTGTCAAGCTGAAGACACCTAGGACTACAGAGAAGGTGAGTTATACACAGGGTGGACAAAAGCCACTGCCTGTAATGCTCCCCCACCTATTGAAGCATCAATGACCCCACCAAGTCTCACCAGAGAGACAGTAGTTCTGCATTCTCCTGGAATATCTGATAGCTGTAGACCCAAACCTGTCTCTCCTGACTGTCACAGCAAAGAAAAACTCAGTCAGAGAAGCTAAGTTATTTTGTCAAAAGATTTATTTTACAAAGCCTATGGTTTTGGGTAGCTGCTTAGCAAAGCATGCAGTCCACACAGGTGTCTTCAGAAGATCAACTGCCCCCAGGAAAGTTACCAGAAAAGAGGTATCTGCTTGGTTCCTTCCCAAAATGAGATCAGACCACCATGAAGACCAGTTTCAAAGCTCTTGGGTTTCCAAATTCATAAAATAAATAATAATAGAGCCTGTATCTCAGCTGCTTTTTTTTTTTTGTTGTTTTCCTCCTCAGTCTTGTTCAGAGGATCAAGTTAGTGCCACAAAAAATTATATTCTCCATGTTTTGAAGCATTAGAGGATAGTAAGATTTCTGCTACCACAAGAATATGAACTCACATGGAAAAGAAACACAAGAGACAACAAAATACCATGTTCTGGACTGTCTTTGAATCATTGTATCAGTGATTGTAGGCAATGCAGCCATCCCAGGCAAATTTGGGACCCACTCATTTTGTTAGAGACTATTTAAAGTTTCAACCAATGGTCATGAAACCGAGAATTCCTTTGTGGGAGCTGCCTGATGTACTTTAGAAAGCAGTCCCCTGCTGTTGTCAGACGTGATGCTGTCACAACTGAGATGGCTCTTCCATTTCATGTTGTATCTTCTTGTTTGGGTCTCACAGCGATCCTTCTGTGAGGACTTTTCTTGCTGAGAGCAGGAGGAAAGAGTCCTTCTTGGCATCAGGAAAGTAACCAGTCAAGATCGTTGTTATGCTGGAAGTAAGCCATCTTTTATCTCAAGAAGATCATACGTCACTTGAAGAGCCAAACACTCACCCCATACCACCTCCTGAACACAGGGCTGCTTTTGTGCTGAATTTGTGCTGCTTGACCTCCAGGATACAAGTCTACACATCTGTCATGCCATCTGAGGAAATGTGGGAGATCAAAACCACCAAGAGGATAGGCTATTATCCTCCAGTCACACAAAGTAATTTGACAGTGACTATAATATTCAAAGTGGTAGCAGCACACTTGCATGAAAGCAATATTTGTGTACTCCTACCAGGACAGCTAGCTAGCAGAGATTTTCTGATGAAGCTCTGTATAACAGATTATGCACACTCAACCTACTACAGAACTTGGTCTCTAAAAGATATGAACATATTGGAGCGAGTCCGGTGAAGGGCCGCAGAGACAATTAAGGTACTGGAGCACCCGTCATACAAGGAGAGCTGGGACTGCTCAGTCTAGAGAATAAAAGGCCTAGGCTCAATATGCATAAGTACGTGATGGGAAGGCGTAAAACACAGAGCCAGACTCTTAGTGGTATCCGCTGAAAGGACGAGAGGCAATAGGCACAAATTGGAAAAAAGTACATTCAATTTAAACATAATTTTCATTTATTTGTTTTTAAACTGAGTGCGAACGCTGGAACAGGTTGCCCAGAGTCTCCAGCCCTAGAGATATTCAAAACTTGACTGGACATAGTACTGAGAAACCTAATTGACCTTGCTCTGAGTAGGGGTCCTTTCCAAGCTCAATGATTCTGTGAAGTAGTGAAATCCCTATGGAGATGTACTTCTCTGGCACAGATTATCAGGTAAGGTCTCCTAGTGGTGTGACAAACCCGAACCTGCCGAGAATCCACAAATCTCACAGCCAGACCCATTGCTTTCAAATTCCCTCAGCAGAACACGTTTGCAGAGACGCTGAGAATGAAAAGCTACTTGCTCTCACAAGAGCTGGACTTTGATACATACTGTTCATATGTATAATCCACTTCTCTCCTCCTTTGCTCCAGAATCCTGCACACCTAATATTTTATAGTTAGGAAGAAAAATGTGCTCTGTTAGTATAAAAAGGTGAGGAGTCTGCAAGACACAGATACACCACACAGTTATTAGTGGTTGTCTTTGTGAACAGTGCAATGTACATATGGACAGCACGTTTAGGCAATATCTGGCTTTTAATCAGTAACTTTCATTTCTGAAGTGTACTGTAAAATGAGCAGAATTTCTGAGAGAAAAGCTGCAGATCTGAAAGGACAGTAAGACAAATCTTTTCTTCATCAGTCTGAATTCTAACTCTCATCAATCCATCATAAAGGTAAGGCTATTTTTAACACACTTGTTTTACTCAGTGTTTCTTGCTCATCAGTAGTAAAGTAGTTCTATGTAAACCTTTCTCCGCTGGTAATCCTCACTAATTGTATAGACAAGGGAAATGAAGGTAGGCCATCATGGGGAAAAAAACCATTAAAAAAAAAATCACCCTTTTCTCCACACAGCCCTTCAAATAATTGCATGCTAATGCATTTTAGTCTTAGTTTGCAAGTGTAACCAACTGCCAGTAGAGTACTATGACATGAAGTGGGCTTAGCCAGCATGTGCATAAATGACATATTTAAGGTATAATCTTCCTTTTTCTTGTTTTGGATTTACCAGAAGTCAAGGGGGCTTTCAGTTTTCTAAGCAGCCATTGTCAAAAAGGGCAAGGCCTCCTCAGCGTATGTCCAAAATAAATGGATAGTCCTAAGAGTAAAGGGAAAGTAAAACAAGTCTCTGTAGACACAAGGCAACCTGCTGCCCAATTCAGAGAAGCAAAACAATGCTGTTACTCAAGCTATGGCTGTAAAGATCCCATTCACTCCAGTTCTATCAGCATCATTCCTTTCTGAAACAATCCCAAGAGAAGCCCTGATTTACAATGTAATACCTTTGCTTTTAGTAGCTCATTGTCTTACTTGGCAAGATGTTTGATAGCCCACCTAGACTTGCAGTCTTACGCTTTATAACTACAAGTTTATTCTGCTTAGGAGATGAAAATTAAAATTGTTCTTTGTATCTTTGAAGTGCAATATTTTAAGACTTCTACTACAAAGTTGCAGTCATAGCTTTTAAAATAGACAAAAAGTAGATTAGCAGCACAAATATATAATTTACATCCTTTCCCCTCCCCACCCCAACATCCATAGTCGCCTGTGAGTCCCGAGATCACCACTTCCAAAAATTAATATATTTCATTGGTTTTGCACCAACACAGCACATATTTTCATTCCACAAAACTTCCATTTGTATAAATTCAAATCTGTTGTTTCAGGAAACTCTTCAATTCCTCAGCTTACCAGGGGATGGTAGTGGCACCAGCAGTACAGCCCCTCCTCACGGTTCAGTGAATGACAGCGAGAAGTCAGGTCCACTAGAGGCTTTCCTGGCTCCCTGATAAATACGTGTAGTTTCTTGGCCCCTTTTCCCCCCCCAAAGTTGCCAATTATTAGTTTGTGATGCAGGATCATATTTAAGGCATTATAACAGACATAACCAAAGGAACTAATTTCAATTAATGTATTTCCATAATGAGGTGAAAAGAAAACAGTTCACCGGATTAAAAAAAATAGTTTCAGTGAAAGCTGTTGATTAAGAGCCAATTAAAAAGCAATTTCCTTAAAAATTGTAACTAGCGAGAAGTGAGGCACCTTAAGTTCACAGCTGCTAGAGAAGCAAACCTTTCCCACCACCACCTTTGACAAGGTCCACTTTAGAGTTGCTGGCCTGTGAATTTTGCGCTTTTTCAGTCCTCCTTCGCTCGACCTTTGAAACTATCCATGATATGGAGGCTTCCAAAATACTCCATAAGGAGAACAGTTACTTTCACTGGGAGGATACTGTAAGGTAGGGAAGTTGAAGAAGAAAAGGAAAAAAACAAAACAGACATCAGAAGACTTGTACAATTTTATCACAGAATTATTTTTACCTGGCTAACACTGGCAAAGATAGTATACTTTCTAGAATATAGTACCACTGGTCCTCTCAAAATATCTGTTACACCCATTTGGCAGTCTGAGTTATTAGACAGATCAATTTCCCAACCTGACTTGCAACAGTCAGAAGTGCCCTAACGGTGGGGCAAGACACCAGATATGCAGTTACTGAGGAGCAGGCCAGCCTCTACAGCCCACAGTAAAACTGCACCCCAGTGGAATCAGCAAGTCACAGTTAGACATTTCTGTCATTGTTCTGTGGTCCAAGGGTAGACTGAATCCCTAGAAACAAAAACTCCAGAAATGTGCAGAACTTAATGAAAATTCACACCAACAAGTAGAAGCCTGGTTTACACTTTCAGTCAAAAACATAGCTGAAACATCCCTGGACAGAAAAGAGAGAGAGGAAAAGAAAGGAAGGCATAACTTACTTTTTCAAAGCGAATAAAAAATAAAGACTGCGTGGTAGCACCAATATTTCTTGGTTCCGCCGGATAGCAGTCATTATCTTCTCAGCCACATACTCTGGCTCCAGAGTGGGAACCAGAATTGGCCACCTGGAAGAGAATACATTTCTTACTATAATAGAAATTGCTTTGGATTCACATTTTACTCAAAATAAGTCTCCATTTTGCAGTTACTCATCTGAAAGAGGAAATAAATACCACAAATCCTATGAACAACAGAACCTTCATTTATGTTAGAGAGTGAGTGGCCATTATTATTTTCCCCTTGCATGATCTCTCATAAGACAAATCCGCATAGTCCTCATATTAAGGCACACTAGGCTTTTATTCGGCTCCTAAATGTGTCATTACACAAGCATATCGAGCAAAGCTATGCCACTGATTTTAGAAGGTGAACGGGGGTTTAGAAACTGGAGAGGACAACTGGAGCATTTGGCTTCTGCAGAGGAAAGGACACCAATTACGTTTCATGTTTAGTAGAGTACTGAGGGCTTTGACATTTGTGTTGCCCAGTCACTGGATAGCACTGTTAACACCCATCTGACGCGCTAAAAATAACACAAGTGGAGAAAAGCCTAGCTCATGATTTTCCTAAAGGAAATAGGAGTACGTAACATGCTAAATGTGCAAGTTGCATAAAAACCTCGCCAGAGTTTACTTACTTGCTTCCACAGCCATCAAACATTCCTGTGTTTATGATGTAAGGACACACAATTGTGGTCTTAACACCAGTCCTTCCCAGACCTCTCATCTCTAAATCAACTGACTCTGCAAAACCAACTGCTGCAAATTTACTTGCACAGTAATCTGTAAAATCAATAAAACATTAATTGCAGTTAAACATTTTATTTACTTATTAAACTTTACTAAACAGGTTCAGTGAGTCCTACCACTGAACATGTACACAGGAGCAGTAACAATTTTTGTCAGAGAACAAGGACAAAACTATGCTCTAGTAAGTAAACTAACTAGCCACAGTTTTTTGTCGTGTTTTTGGTTTTTTGTTTTTTTGTTTGTTTGGGGTTTTTTTTACAGTATACAACAGCAGCACTATAGTATAGAAATAATATATAAGTAGTACCTGCAGGAAATTACGGTCCAATAATAAAATACTCTACAACAGAGTAGGAACTGTTTTCAGGATTAGGTTACTAATAAAATTTGCCTTCAATGTGATTCACTTCTTTACTTTCCCCTCTCCCAAGCTAACTGTTGTTCTAGACTGGCAGACAGAGGGTTTCTCATCGCATCCCTACTATCACCTTCCCACTCTCTACTGAATAATAGCAAACTAAATTATCTTTTCATACCATACCTTATCTTTGAATCCATGCGTTGGCTTCTTATGCATCAAACTCAAGCTTTCAAGACTCTCTAAATGTGGTTTCAACTTGAAACTCAATTTGTCTTCATTATCACTGCCTTGAAGCTAGATTTCTTTTACTGCTATGTCACCTCATTTCATTTTCCTGCCCCTTTGCAAACATTTTCCAGAAATGCCTTCTGAGTTTGCCCTAATCTCAACACTTTTTTTCCAATCACTGTATGGGTCCTCTTGAATGAATGGCTGAGAGACAGAATGCAAAATGAGATGATGCACCTCTGTCTCTGTAGCACATCTGGATTTTAGTAGTTCTTTCAGTTAGGAAAACCTGTATGGGACTCTGCTTAGCTTGAGAACATACTTAAAAAAAAAAAGAAAAAAAAAGAAAAAAGTGGCCTCTTCCCCACAAATACCTGCAGGTTAACTTTAACAACATTGAAGTTTTCAGTTTCCAAAGTTCTAGGTGGCTCCTAGATCCTCTAACTGCCTTGGCTGTTTCACAGCACTGCTCAGCATCTGGAAAACTCTTTTTGAAAGGAATAGTCTATTTAAGATCAGCTGATTTGAAAGTATGACCATTTGCTTTACCTATACGCAAAGACCCAGAAACTCAAAATTAGGATTTTTTTTTTCATGAGTATTGATTGCAGAGTTTAAACCAAACTAACTGTCTAAATGAACATTAGCTTTAATACACTACCTGAAAGACGATTGACTCCAGTCAGTCCCGCTGAGCTTGCAATACTAACCAAGTGCCCATGGTTAGAGGCTATCATCGCTGGGAGGAAGGCTTTGTAAGTCTGCAATGTAAGTCAGAGTTGCAATGAAACATTTTACTAAGTAAGCTATGTGCTATAATATTTTGAAGGTGTTGTTTTTAAAGAAATTCTCCCTACTGTTTAAATAAGCTTCCTCCTCTTCCATTATGGAAGGCAAGGAGGGGAAGAGGAGTTTGTTGGTTGAACTCTAACCTTCATCTACGAAGTTGGGACTTTCCAGCCCCCACCAGGACCACTTTCTCCTCAACACCAAAGACAGATGGTAACTTGCTGAAAGCTAAAGATATAGCTTCAGCTAGCTCCTGAAGCTCAGCACTGCAATGTTTCAAATGAGAATTAAGTGTTCACTGCAGATTTTGTAAAATGGTGAAAATTTGAATTTAATGTCTTCCTTCTATTAAATTAATTTAATCTTCGTGATTAAATTTATTTATGAAGAAACTGAAGCATGTTTTAATATCCCCTTTGCAATTCTTTATGATAGGAACACCATATAGATGACCTGCCTTCCCTGGAAGGAAGAAAAAGCATATTAAGTTACTTATTTTGGACAAAAGCCCCACTTAATAATAAGAGTATTGTCTGAATATGTGGTATTTCTTACTGAAACTATCATAACCACAAAGCAACTAGAACACTAACAGAATTGAACACTTCTCTGTTACTAGGCCTGCTTCATGTCAATTAATATTGAGGGATTATAACATATGACTAGCTTCAGAATTTTGCAGATGGTAAACTTCAGTTCTTAAGAGCATTTCTAAATATGAAGCAGATTTGTTGCCACCTACCTATCCCAGAAGTTCCCAAAGGATCCATTCTTCCACCCTTTTTTATTTTACAGACTCCCAGGCATAGAAAGTAATTTCTTGTATCATTTCTGACTGAACTTACAAGGAGCTATATATCTTTGCATATTTTCATCAATTTCAAAAGGCAAAATCAACACTGAAAACATGTTAAAAAGGATGCTTTAGTATGTATATGCAAAGTACAGGTATTACCCAGAAGTGTGCCATTATGTTCACTTCCATGGTTTTTTCCACAAGTGAATCTGGAGAATCAATAAACCTCTTCCCAGTTACAATACCAGCATTGTTGACTAGGATGCTAATGTCGCCAACTTCTTTTTTAACCTAAAACAAGAAGCCTCAAGATATTACGCAAATACAAAACATGCTTTCCAAGTTTTATATATGAAACATAAGAAGTAGAACTATTGCACATTTCAACTAAGTTGAACTTACTATGCTTGTTATGGATCCAAACACCTCAGGTCCTTGCATGTTCTCACCTGATGCCTGTTTAGAGCTGAGTTTACAACTGGACTTTCTTTGGAGGTGTGGAGCCCAACAGCTCCACACAGGCTTCTGCTTTCAGCACCGCTGGTTCTTGCTGTGGCTCTTCCAGATAAATCTCTATTGCAGAGAGCTTAACTAACCCAACGAGTATTTTGCCACAGTAAAACTTAAAACCATCTTAAGACCAATGAGCAATTCTGTTTGTAGGGCCATTTCTATGCCATGCGGTGAGCTGCAGTACATAGATCCTCAGGCAAGTTCAGCAGAATCAGGTACATCAAATCTATGCAAAGGCTGCAATATCTAAACTTGCACTTACATTATACTCAAATCCTCTTGTGTTTTCCACAGAGAAACTTGAGCACAGAAGCAGTGCTGCCATATGACTTGAAGGCAGAAGCCAGCTTGCACAATATTTGAGTCCTTTGATGAGCATAAGGAAAATTGGATTCCCTGTTGGTAGCCTGCATCCCAACAGTCCAGAGATTCATCTCTCCTACTGCACAGGGCAGCAGCTACTTAGTAGCATCTTAATATTTCAGATATTTCAGGATTCTACATGCTGTTTTCCACATGTTCCACTTCTCCTGACTGCGATTGTTAAACACTGACATGTATTACATAGTAGTTTTTCGCTAGTGCTAACTTTATTTGCATCCACAGCACACACATTAAGCCAGACTTCCCTGCAGCTTTCCAGGGGAGCAGATGGAGTTTTCTGCCCTCAGTGTGTTGGAATTACAATGGGCAAACAATCCCTTTTGATAAGAAGTATTCCTCATGTGCATAGGCAGTGAGAAAGGCCAGCTGTAAAATTAATTTCCTCCTTACAACCTTTTTATTTATTAGGTATCTTGACTACTTCAAGCAACTTTATAGGTCAGGAACTTAAGAAAGTTCCTCCTAATCTCACCAAACAAAGAGGGTTTTTTTACAAGTTTATTTCTCATGAAGACAGCCTGAAAGAACACCATGTCTCTATTGATATTAGCTCTCAAGACAATACAAGAAATGAGAAAACTGTAGGAAGAGTAGTAGTAGTAGTGTGTTATGAAAATCAAACAAAAGCTGTAGGGTTCTGAATAAAGGAAGATTTTAGGACACATGCATTCACAGAAGGCAAGTGCCTTATGAGCTTCTGGGGCTCATGGTGCATAAGCTTGTTTCTAGTGTATTTGCTTCAATTCTAACAGTGTACCAGAATCCTTATAAGATGGTTCCCAGAAAATAAGTTGGCTAAAGAATAATATCTACACATTTAGTCCAGTAAGAGGAAGTATAGTTCTTATTTTAGCTCCAGACTGAGAACTTTCATGAACAGACTCACTTGAGAGAACTATAGGCCAGCTGATATCAAGACCTTGTGCCAGCTTTCAAAAGGAGAATGAAAATATTTAATGCAGTATTTGAAGTACAGTTCATTAATCTCAGCTATCTGGGAAAAAAGAAATGAGTACTCTGTATGTTGTTTAATTTGTAATTTCCAGATCAAGTGCTAAACATGTGCTGATCAGTAGCTTTGGGAAACCATGTTGGTTTTATGCCATCTTGCCATACAGTTGCAGATCACAGAACCTTTTTTCTTAATGGTGTTTCCTTTGCGAGGTGCCTACAGTGACTGAAGAAAGCACAAGCAGACCAGGTAGGCTAGCCTGTATAGCAGTAAAAAATTAAAGGATAATTTACCACCTATCCTTTATTCTAACTTAACTTCCTCATCTTCCTTAAACTTGTTCCAATCTTTTCCACGTTTGTTAACTAAGGGTTTAAAAAACAGAAAGCAGCCTTGGTAGGATTATACAGAACAGCTTTTATAATAAATTAATCAGCCAGAGCCCCTTCCCACCTGAGTCATTGCTCACACATTCTTGTCTGTCTATTCCCCTCTCAAAAAGTTGTCATGTAACAATTTAAATATTTCTGAAGCAGCACCACATGATGTCCAGAGGCAGCCTTAGAGAAGTTGCTCTAGTCACCAACCTGAGTATGTACCCCTCATCACAAGTTAAAAATAGTATGCATTCAGAGACATAAATGTAATCATTAGTAAGTGATGCTTTAATACTGCCTCGTGTCAGATGATCTAGCAATTCTGGAAGCCTAGACCAGTACCCCAAATCTACCCTTTGGGGCAAATAACAAATACCTGAATAAGTGGTCATGCTTTTTTTGTGCGAACAAAAGACAGAGGTGGGGGACATGGTACATACAGCTTATAACTTGTGATTGGGATATTCAGGTGAGATGGGAGAAGGGAAATAAGAACAGAACTTGATCATCCCATTTCTAACCAGTGGCAAGAACCTGAACAACCTCTTCCTTTACCACGTGTCTCTACTCAGTCTTCCAAAATATATTCACACTTTGGATGAAATTCTAAGCACATTTGAGTGCCTTCCTGCAACCCAGACAAATAATTCCAGCTTTACAACATCTCTGCTCATGCTGCTTCCCTACTAACTAGATATGGCAGCTCTTTCCTCAGCAAATCAGCTGTTTTAATTCCCTTCTCCTCTCAGGTCTCCCCTGTGCATGACAGCGCCAAGACACTCAGCCTAGGCGTCCACACTCTGCTTTGAGGCCAAGTACAGAAGACCTTTACCAAGCCTTTTCCCTAGCTATTAAGGGGGTGGGGATAATGTCAACTTTTGAGAGCTCTAAACCTCTCCATTTGTGCAGTGCAGGAAAGTATGTTCCAGGTGTTTGTTTTAGGCCTAGGTAAGGCAAGTATTATGCAAACAGCTGATCTGGTTAAACATCTTTTTCAGGTATAAACACTATTTCCTGTTTGTTTCTGCATTTATAGTTATGCTTTTATACTGAAGTTAAGTAGTGAACAACTCCCACAATTCCTAAACAGCATCCCAAAGTGTCTACTTTCTAAGAACCACAAACCCGTCTGTAACTGCCTACAAGAGGTGGAAGAAAGCAATGGATGTTTTATAGGCAGCATGAAATACCACCAGGAAATGTGCTTCTACTGTTGCTCCTCTGCACAGGAAAGAAGGTTCTCAGAAAAGTGGAAGAGTGGCTGCAAACTGTCATCTTGACTAACAAGCAAGAAAAAACAGTGGATAAGCAAAAAAGTACCATGCAAGAGATCCTGGAAGTAAATGTGAGCCCAGATGCAATTCTGCAACGTGATAATGAGGAAAAGGCTTCTGTTTCTCCACAAGTATCAAAAACCATAGTTACTTCCCTCTTTCAAAGCCCTAGATTCTTAAAGTTTAGCTGAACTCGAGGGAAGGAGGGGTAGGTCAGAAAAGGCCACATTCCTTTTGGGGTTGGGTACTTGTGGAACAGGGACATTAGAAATAAATTTTAAGCTATAGCTCTTGATAGCCAAAAGCTGTCCTTCATCCTGTTGATACAAGGACACCACATGTGCAGGGCTCTTTGGTTTTCTTCCTACTGAAGTAACTTTTTCCTGGTCTCTCTGTGTGACTGATGAAGTACCAGAAGTGGGTATTTAAGGTTCACATACATTTCATTTTGGCTTTGAGATTGTTTTATACTGGGCACAAAGTTTTCAGTCATGTCCTGCCCTGCCTGCATGAATTTAGTTCGCTATAGTCTCGCACAACTCCAAGTCATTGCATGAAGCTGAACCACCAGGGGGGGAAACAAAACCTGGAACCGCGCTGCCTCATCTTGCAAAGGCTGACACTGCACACTATGAGCCAAAGTCTACGACACCGCATTAAGTAATCAGTGGCACCAAGCACTAACTAATACTAATGTCTTTTTGTCACTAATAAGATGGGAAAGTTGTCAGCATGATTCTGTATCATTTGTCAGCAGGACATGACATTTCTGAAATAATAGTAGTAGAGTATTTTCTTCTATGTGGATCAGCAGGAGGATTATTAGTGGATCAGCTGTTAGTGAACTGCTGACAGAAGATTATAAGCAAGGAATCATGCACTGAGACCCTCTTACCACTTCTTTGCTCCAGTCTACCTTTGTTTTTATCACCCCTAACCTTGTGTCACACACATATCTACACCCTCTTCTCCTTTTTATATTTGGCCAGAAAGGCTCTGCTACTGCTTTTCTCCATGGGACTGAAGTGCTAGCCCTTGAGTCCTCAAAACTGAAGGTTAGTTTCCATCTTCTTCATTCCAGTGTCCGTCTACCACTACACTACCACACTCCCCCCTCCTCCTCCACTCCTCCCAGTTCAGAGGGAAGCACAGTTACAGGCCTGTGGTGAGACGTGCAACTGCTCTGCAGGGACAGCAGATGTACAACTCAGCTGGCGTAACAGAGCTGCAAGGGGGACAAAGGGTGATCAGCATTACCAGAATACAAAACAAATAGTACCAGCCTCTAACAAGCTGCAAGTCATGCACAAGCTTCACTTATCAGAGAATTTTTTCTAGTCATTTTTGCACAGATAGAAAAATGCAGAACGCTAGAGCTTCTTAAACAGCACCAAAAGAAGAACATTATTTCAGCCAACAGATGTTCCTGAAGACAGCTGAACTTTTTTTTTTAAATTCATCCTTAGGCAAACACTCACTGTGGAAACTTTCTAGTCCAACAGTTTAGCAACTTTTGAAGCAAATTAGAACAGGTTGTTACAACGGAAACTGTTAAGCAATTTTAGCTTTTGGCAATTCTATTAGTCTGCCCAAAATATCTAACCACATGCTATATTTACAAAGCTCTTCAGAAAGGAAAGTAAGAAATATTTAAGACTTCAAGATACATTTATTAATTCTGATAAAGCGAGTCTGCAAAAAAAAAAATCTATTCACAGCCATGGAATTATTTGAAAATTGCCTAAGCAGTTAATCCTTTTTACAATGTACAGTCTTTAGGGTTTACTTTTGGTAAAAGGCTGCCAGAACTTGAGATACTGCTTTAGCTTCAATAAATTAATTTTCTACCCTTCACCAGTAAGTGCTTTCTCAATAATTGAATGAATGAGAAGCTACTCAGTTGAAATTAACTACTGAAAAAGAGAACCAGCTGTTTTTATTTTTAAAAGGAACAGAGGTACATAAGTCAACTCTAAAAACCAGTATTTGTGAAATAAGTAGCATGTGCAATACGTTCTGAATGAATTAACTTTAATCTCTTGCTTTGAAGTCACTAAAACTTATCATACACCATACACTCATCACGTACATATCATACACATGCATGCACTCATCCTAGAACAGTGTCAAAGCCACAAATAAGATACTTTACCTGATCAGCTACTCTGTAGACATCCTGCCTTTTGCTACAGTCGCAGATGTAACAGTATACTCCCACTGCTCCATTTTCTTTGGCCAGTCTACTTGTCTCCTTGAGCCCCTCTTGATTAATGTCCCAGAGAACCACTGTGGCTCCAAGGCTGGCAAACTTTAAAGATAAGAGCCTTCCAATGCCACTTCCTGCTCCTGTTATTAATACTATTTCACCACTAACATTCTTCTTCCGTTTAGGCACAATCAAGAACACTAGCGACGCCAGCAAATAATAAACAGAGAGTCCGATGACTTTGAACGTTTCCAGGAAGAAGTTCATCTTGAGGCTATTTCTTCAGATACCTGATAAAAGAAAATGTTTACCAGATAGAATAAACCATAAAAAGAGAAAATGCAAATATCAATATTTCAAACTTGAAAAGCATTTTCAGATCCATTTGAAATATTTTCTCTAGCCTGCTTCTGAGTGTTGTTTCAAAAAAAAAAAAAATAGGCTTACATCTGCACATCTGACCCATTTGTCCTGTTTCTGTATTATCTCCAGGTTGCTCCTACTCTCCTCCAGAACATGGCGCACAATTGATTTACCATTTGGCAAAGGCAGGAAACACCTGCCCTCATCTGCTTTAGAAATTCCCCATCCCTCACATCATGGGTTTCCACCTCTGCTCTGACAGAACGTGGACTCAAAAACTAGAATCAAAAAAAGTGATAGTTGCACCTTGGGCATCTTAAGCAGAAATGCATGGCAATTACAAATCAAAACTCAGGGCTTGATCAAACAACTTTAGAGCTCACAAGCTAGTACTTTAGGTCGGGAAAAATTCTCCTTTTAGGACCACAACTTTTGCTTTGTAGGCACTCCTTGCCAGCAAGAAATCATATGCAGACCACGTCGCAGTCTCAACCCTGCTGAAAAACTGCCAGCATAGGGAGCTTCAGAATATGATATGCTTATAAATCTCCAAAACACACCAGGTAAATTCCTAGCTGTCACTACTAGCTTTTCAACTACTGGTACCACCATTATGGAAGAGAGCCTGCTTTTGCAATTGAACAGAGTGTTTTGTTTAGGAATGTGTTGCAAAGGTGTTGACTTTCTTCTCTTCACCTCCCTGCATTAAGCTAATGTCACAGGCTTGAATCATACCATCCCAGGTATGCATTTAACTTCACAGTCTGTACTCATCACAGTAATGCTAACACCGAGGAGGCACTTAAGTGCTTGAAAGAATGCTATTTATTTCCCAGTATACAAATGCTACGCAAGAAATGCACCCTTGGTCAAAGCAGGTTTTAATCTTTGACTAACTATGGTATGAAGGATTAATATCTTCCTTCTCAGCTAAAGGTAGAGCACACTGGCACTGACACTTCAACCTTTAGCACTACACGCCCAGTTTGATCACCTTTCTTAGTCAACATCGCTACCTATATGTATGATCACGTTTGTCAATCGTGTTTGACAAGTGCCAAGAGATAAGTTACTTACATCTCTGCTACTCTGAGCTAAGTTCATGAAATTTAGCATGTGGACATACACGTGTTATCATGAGTCTCAAGTTTTGTACGTGGGAAACAAGGCCAGTCCTGAAAAGGGATAGGCCACTGCTAGAACAGAGCAAGTTATTTCAGAAAGTTTTCTGGCAGAAACATTAGGACACCTTAAAACTATTCTGATAACAGAATAACATTCATCAAAACCACAGTGGGTAGGGAAACAAGTTCTTCTTTCTGAAGAAGAGGAGTCACAGGGTGAATGTTTTCTGTTCTTCGTTCCCTTTAAAATGGGACAAAAATGTATGCAGAAGTTCTGGCACAGATGGAAGGCAGTAACACCAGGAAGAAATATCAAAACAGCACAGGAACATTTTTGTAGCACCCATATTGACATCTCCTGTATTTCTCCTGACATTTCTCACAGCTACAGAGCTACTACAGATATAAGCAAAACCAGAGTTATACAGGAAAAGTGTTATTAAATTTCACGTACATCAAAAAAACAGCAAGCTTTTGGAAACACAAGTTCTTTGCTTGATCTAAAACAGAAGTAACAAATCTTTAAAATAAATGCAGTTGCTGAATTTAACTTGATTACACTAACTTAATGCACTTAATGTAACATCCTCCATGTGCATGAAATGACATTGGTATCTCTGGAGTAGATGTTATAGTTAATCCCTATGGAAAAACAAGAGAGGCAATTGCCTTCAAAGTATAATACACAATTTGACCTAAATCCAGTTTAGAACTTACGTCAGTAATTTCAGTAAAATAACCATGCATTAGGCTTGCATAGGACAGAGGCACATCAGATGTTACAGAAGTACTGCCTTCTCTTAGAGAAGTAGAGTTGTTTTAGGCATACAGACCACTTTTTGTTAGAACACCAACTCCATATCCTTCAATGAGACGCTTAACGCTGACACGTCTCTTGCCCGACCCAGCTTTGACCGGGCCAGGAGTCCTCCATTCTCACTGGCTCACTGCATTAGTACTGCTAATCACACCAGCTACTGTAACCAAGCATATCCACACAGACAATTAAATCAGCCAACACACTTGGCTGATTTTGGCTCAGTTATCTATTTACAGATGAATTAACCAAGGGTACCTTTGGCACACATAAGATCTCATATCCCTTCTGATGCCAACGTATTGGTTTTTAATATGCCTACATCCACACAGACATAAGTGTGGAGGGCTTTTACATTGTAGTGAAGTATCAAAGGTTTTACAATGGCTTATCAGACAGATTTCTTTTCAGCACAGACTTGGTCCATGTGCTAATGCTCACAGCCAAGTGGCTCTTGCAGACTGTCATTGCTCACAAAACACACGGGCAGAATTGAGGCTGGCATCCGAACCACAAAACACCTCTGCTAGCCAAAGGGATCAGAGATTGGTCAAGCAATCATCTGAGCAGAGTTTGGCAAGCATGAATTTGCTCGCTGCATCTAGAGGGTCGTGACCCCCCCAAAAACATAGTGGTGCTGTAGCCAAGACAGTCCAAGGGCTGAGGTGTAGCAATACCTTCCCCACCACCTGGAAGACGCTGGACTACCTTACTCTCACCTGGCACACCTCGTCTGCTAACCCAAGTAGCATCATAAAAAAAAAACCCACAGGCACCGTCAGCTGCGGTGACCAG